TGCTGCTGAGCCGGGCTCCGGTCTCTACACTCTTCACACTGGCCCGCGCGCTCAGCAGCGACTGCAGCAGCAGCAGCAGCCGCAGCCGCAGCCACAGCGGCCGCCGTCGCAGCAGCCACTCCTCCCAGTTCCTGTCCCTCCCCCTAGTCTCCTCCCTGCGTCTCACCAGGTGGTTCCGTCCCCTCAGGTTGTCGCGTCCAGTCCAGTCGCTGCGTCTTGCTCCTGTCGGTCGCTTGCCCACCCCACCGTTCTGTGGCACCACCGGATGGGACACCCTTCTCTTCCACGTCTGCGTGCTATGTCTAGTCAGCGTCTGGTCTTAGGTCTCCCGCGTGTCTTGCCGTCGCTGCCGCCGTCCCTTGCACCACCGTGCGGTCCTTGCGTCGAGGGTAGGCTGCGTGCCACCCCTCACTCCTCCTCCCTTCGTCCGGCCACCGAGCCTTTTGAGACGCTGCACTTGGACGTCTGGGGCCCTTCTCCTCGCCCTGGCCCTGAGCGTGAGCGTTTCTTTTTGGTGGTCGTTGACGACTACTCCCGCTACACCACAGTGTTCCCCCTGGCGAGGAAGTCTGAGGTGACTTCTACGCTGATCAGGTGGTTGCTTACCACCCAGGACACTCGTGGTCGTCGTGTCAGCTGTCTCCACTCCGACCGCGGGGGCGAGTTTCGCTCCGGCATTCTCGCTGGATTCTGTCGCGAACAGGGCATTCGTCAGTCCTGGACGCTTCCGGAGTCCCCACAGCAGAATGGGGTTGCTGAGCGTCGCATAGGCCTGGTCATGGAGATTGCCCGCACCTCCTTGACTCACGCCCGTGCCCCCCATTTCCTGTGGCCATACGCGGTCAGGTACGCCGCGCACCAGCTGAACCTCTGGCCACGCGTCTCTCGGCCGGAGGCTTCACCGACCAGTCTTTGGACAGGGTCCCCTGGTGTCGCGTCGAGGTTTCGTGTCTGGGGGTGCTTGGCTCTTGTCCGCGACACCTCCGCGGACAAGCTCTCGCCTCGCGCCGTTCCTTGTGTCTTCCTTGGTTTCCCTGAGGACTCCTCTGACTTCACCTTTTACCACCCTCCCTCTCACCGGTTCTTTGACTCCCGTGACGTCCGTTTCGAGGAGTCCACCCCGTACTACGTCAGGTACCCCAGTCGAGGTCTCCCGGTTCCTCCTCCCCCCCTCTTCCTGACAAGAGCTCCCCCGCCTGCTCCCCCGGTACAGCCTCCCCCCCCTGGTCCAGCCCCGTCTGGTGTGTCTCAGGCTAGCCCTCCCCCTTCGGTAGCCCCCCCTGTACAGCCTCCCTCCCCACAGTCTTCCTCGCCGCCTCCTGCAGGTGCTCCCTCTCGGGAGGTTGGTCCTGCGACTGTCCCTGTACAGGTCTCTGGTTCTGGGGGTGCTGGAGTTGGAGCTGAGCCGCGGGTTGCAGAGGACTCTTGTCTTCCGGGGGCTGGTACTGGTCGTGCGGAGTCTGGGGGTGCTGGTGCGGAGTCTGGGGGTGCTGCGTCTGGGGGTGAGGGTGTCCCTTCGGTTTCTGGAGAGCCTGGGTCTGGAGCTGGTGTTAGTGCTGCCTCTGGGGGTGGTGTGCTTGGTGCTTCGGAGGTCGACTCTGGGGCTGCCGCTGCCCCGGACACTACTCCTTCCCCCCACCCCTATCCGACCAGGTTCCAGGCTCGTGTTCGCCGTGCTCGTGAGGAGCAGCTGGAGTTGGAGAGAGAGGAGAGCGGCTCGAGGAGCAGGAGCGACAGCAGCAGGAGCAGCAGCAGGAGCAGCAGCAGGGGCAGCAGCCGCTGGAGCAGCAGCAGCCGCAGCAGCCGCAGCAGCAGCAGTTGCCGTCTCCTCCTCCTGTCTCGGGTCTTCGGACCCTTGGTCTCCCCTCTCCCTCTCCTTCCTCCTCCCCCTCTCCTCCCGTCTCTGGTCCTCCGCTTCCTCCTCCTGACCCCTCTCCCGCTGTTTTCCCTCGTTCTCAGTCTTCGTTGTCCCCTCCTCCTTCTCAGACTTGGGCCTCTCGTCGCTCCCCTCGTGCTCGTCCCTCGTCTCCTGTTCCCTTCACTGACCTTCGTACTGCCTTACTTCGTTCTAGTCCACCTCGTCCGTCTCCGTCTGTGCTTCCGTCTCCTCCTGAGTCGGCTCTCACTGCGTCGCTCCCTACTCCTGTCACTGACTACTACCGCACGTACCGTCCTCTTCTCTCTCGTGTTCTCGCCTCGCTTGTTACTCACCCTCGTGCCTCTGTGTCCTCTGTGTCCGCTCTTACTGCCGCAGTCACTGAGTTTGCCTCTACCCGCCGCCTTGACTTCGCCACCGCTCTTGTGGCTGCTCCTCCTTCCAGTCCTCTGGCCGTCGGGGGTGTGTCTGCCCTTGGCTGTGACGCCCTAGAGGACAGGCAGTTTGAGCTAGAGTTCCTGGCGGCCGCTTCCCCTCATCTCTGTGCCATGCTCCTCGCCCCTGAGGGTGACCCCGACGCCCTTGACATTCCGACTCCTCGCACTTACGCTGAGGCAGTGTCAGGGCCTTGGGCCTCTCAGTGGAGAGCTGCCATGGACGCAGAGATGGCCTCCTACAGATCCACAGGCACCTACGTCGATGAGGTTCCCCCTCCGGGGGCGAACGTAGTCGACGGCATGTGGATCTACAGGGTGAAGCGGCCACCGGGATCTCCTCCGGTCTTCAAGGCACGCTACGTGGCTAGAGGTTTCAGTCAGCGCGAGGGAGTTGACTTCTTTCAGACCTTCGCGCCCACCCCGAAGATGACCACTCTTCGGGTGTTACTACACGTAGCAGCACAGAGAGACTACGAGTTACACTCTCTCGACTTCTCTACTGCTTTCCTTCAGGGCAGTCTTCACGAGGAGGTCTGGTTGCGTCGTCCCTCTGCCTTCACTGGCTCTTTCCCTCCTGGGACCCAGTGGAGGCTGAGGCGACCGGTTTACGGTCTTCGTCAGGCTCCTCGTGAGTGGCACGACACCCTGCGTTCTACCCTGTCTGACCTTGGGTTCCAGCCGTCTTCTGCTGACCCGTCGCTGTTCGTTCGTCGTGGCCCCACACCTTTCTTTGTTCTGGTCTACGTTGACGACCTTGTTTTCGCCACCCCTGACAGGGTTGCTTTGGCACACGTGAAGTCCGAACTGCAGAAGAGACACACCTGCACTGATCTTGGTGAGCTGCGCCACTACCTTGGCCTGCAGATCACCAGGGACAGAGCTGCTCGCACCATTACACTTTCACAGTCGCACATGGTGCAGCAGGTCCTTCAGCGGTTCGGGCTTCAGCACTCCACAGTACAGCGCACACCTCTTGCTGTTGACCACAGACTCACTGGACCCTTTCCTGACGAGCCGTTCGAGCCTAGTGGTCCCTACGCAGAGCTTGTGGGTTGCCTCATGTACCTGATGACTTGTACTCGCCCGGACCTCGCCTTCCCTCTCAGCGTTCTTGCGCGCTTTGTTGCGCCAGGGAGACACCGTCCTGTTCACTGGACAGCAGCTGTGAGGGTGGCGAAGTACCTAGCGACGACGTCAGGCGTGGGGCTAGTTCTTGGAGGGCAGCAGTCTGTCGTACTTACTGGTCACTGTGACTCCTCTTACGCTGACGACGCTGAGACTCACAGGTCTACTCAGGGGTACTGTTTCAGCCTGGGTTCTGGAGCTGTTTCCTGGCGGTCCACGCGCTCCTCTTCGGTCTCGACCTCTACAGCTGAGGCTGAGATCTACGCTGGTGCCATGGCGGCACAGGAGCTGCGTTGGTTGACCTTCTTGCTCACCGACCTTGGTGAGCGGCCGAGCTCTGCACCGACCTTGTTCACTGACAACAAGGCGTCTATTCTCCTTTGTCGAGAGCCACGACTGGAGAGCAGAGTGAAGCACATTCACGTCAGGTACTTTCTTCTGCGAGAGTTGCAGAGGCGTGGACAGGCTCGCTTTGAGTTTGTGGAGTCCGAGGCCAACACTGCAGACATCTTCACCAAGGCGCTTCCGCCTTGTGACCACCAGAGGTGCTGTGTGCAGTTAGGCCTTGTTGACACTGGTTCTCGTGTTGCTTAGACTTGAGTGTACTGTTTACTTTGCTTTCTATATACCTCTGTTACTTCTTGGACTGGCCTTGTGGCCACTGTTGTTTGTGCTCAGACTGTGTGGTGACGTTGTGATCCACCCTGAGCTTTGTTTCTTGGACTGGTCTTGTGACCGTACTCGTTTGGTTCTGCTAGACACCCCTCACTTAGGCTATGGGGGTGTGTCAAATGTTGTAGCCTATAGTGAGGTTTGTCTTAGGGGGTACAAAACTTAGGGTTAGCTATATGTACCCCAACCAACATCAATGCATCATCCATTCTTCATTTTGACATAATGTTGCTTCGCAACCCTAAGACGATTTCGTCGCCTCTTGTTTACCCTACACTGATTTTCCAGTGTTCAGCTTTTTGTGGGGCTGATTTTTCAGCCTTTACCTGCCACATGACTCTGAACTTTCAGCAATTTTTTTAAAGTGACACTGATTCCACTATGTTGTAACGAATCCGACCCTGAAAGCGATTCCTACACGGTCCGAGTGTAGTTGCCCGGCAGTACAGGGAATATCAGATTCCCGCGGTGTCAGCAGGGCGTGGCGGTGAGTACCAGACAAATTTGCCCTTGGTGAGGGATGCTTTGTTGGCGCGCCTGGTGCGATGATTGGCCACTTCGACAGCATTTCCTGATTTGACCGATTACAAGGTTGCAGCACAGCGGTGCTGGCAGGCAGCGCAACGAGGGATTCAGCCTTTTTCTGTAGGGGACACTGATGCATCAGACTTTTTTTAAAGTAACACTGAACTTTCAGGCTTTTTTTCTAGGCGACCCTGACGATCAGGGTCTAGGGGCAGAGGGACCCTGATACCCTTACGTGCCTCAAATTGAATCTGAGGGCCTGGTATGAAGTTACAACTCAACCATAACACTCTATTTACACTGTAAATTTTACAGGAATGTAACTGCACCTACTATACCAACAAGGTGTCTCCACACGCCGCACATTATCTACCACCTCGAACAAACCAGCTACCTTTCGGTTGCTGGATCTGACCTAAAGCCACTTACCGTAACACCACAACCTCTATATGTACAAAGAAGTGTTTCCTTCCCACCTCTCATCTCATCCCACCTCACCCCAACACATCCAATCACAAGCACCACGCACCCGCCATGACCCCAGGTGCGAGTGCGCCTCCCAAGCTGTTGCTGTTGCTGTTGCTGCTGCTGCTGATGCTGCTGTTGCCTCTATGACCATGCGCCACCACGAGCCAATCCTCGTCGTCCTCTTCATGCAGCATGGCAAAGGCAGGCAGCAGGCCCCCCTCCTCCAACCCTTCTTCCACCACCGCCTCCCCATCCTCCCCTCCTCAAACGCTGCTCCTGCCCCTGATAGAGCCTCTTCCAACACACCACCAGCACCAGCAGCAGCTGCAATACCACCAGCAGCAGAAGCAGCAGCTAAATCAGCAGCACGGACAGCAGCGCGGTCCAGCACCACTTCCACCAAATCTCCCATTCTCAGCCTGCGACTGGCAGCCTCGCCCTCCGCTACCACCTCCGAGTTGACCCGCAGAGCCATCCGCCCCCCCCTGCCTGCTCCTGGCTGCTGCTCTCCCTCCTGGGAGTGAGTCAGCTGGGGGTGAGTCAGGCGCAGCTCGTCCTGCTTCTGCCACAGCTCCCGCAAGAGGAGTGTATCCGGTGAGCCCCCTTCGTTGAGCTTCTCAGGCTTCTCATCTGAAGAGCTTTCCTCCTCCTCGGCGTACTGCTCTAGGAATGCTGCGACTGTGGTCGTGGCAGGGACCTCCCGCACGGATATCTGAGAGAGGAAGAAGAGAGGAGGCACACAAGAGGCGCGCAGCAATTTCAGCACTAATCCAGCTTGAAAGCGTGCCAGATAAAGGGGCAAAACCATCAAACCGAGGGAGGGCAAGGAGGATGATGACTGCAACAGACGAAGGTGACGCGACGAGGTGGTAGGAGCTGGGAACAGAGGTAGAACAAGTAAAGACAAGTGAACCACACGACAAGCAGCAACCGATTGCTTGAGCAGCAGCAAAAGGCCTGGAGACGGATGCGAGGGGGAGCGCGCGGGTGAGGGAGGCACTCACGCTATCCCCGTCCATGACGAGCACGTAGATCTCCTCTTCCTCCATCGCTGCTGCTGGCGGCGGCACAGGCGCACTCGAAAACGGTGCACCCGCTGCTGCAAACGCAACCCCTTCCCCAGGCAATGGGCTGGTAGGCGAGGTGCTGAAGGGGAAGGTGCGGAAGCGGCACGACTCCAGGTGCTCTGGGAAGGGGCACCGCTCGTGCAGCCCGGAGGACGAAGCTTCGTCGCAGCCAGTGCTGCATGCACCAGCAGCAGAGGCGCTCCCACACGCGGAAGCACCCATGCAGTGAGACGGATATGAACCGGAAGGGGAGCAGGAGGCTGGGGTGGAGCAGGAGGGGGATGAGCAGGGGGAGCAGGAGGGGGAGGAGGCGGCGGTGGCAGTGGCGGCGGTGGCGGGGGCGCCGCATCCCACGGCGGCCATGCTGGCGAGGTAGAGCGACGAGGGCGACAGGCGCTTGGAAGGGGGGGAGAGGCGCAGCTTGGTGTCGCTCATCTCACTGTACCACGACAGAACGTACCGCACCCATTCTATCTTCGCCAGCACCGCTGGCGACGGCCCCGAGGAGGGTGAGGACGACGAGGAGGAGGAAGATGAGGAGGAAGACCCTTTAACCTCCTGTTTTCTACTACTGCTACTGCTGCTGTTGCTGCTCTGCTCTTTCCCGAGCGCTTTATCCCCGTTATTGTCACGGAACCCCGCTTCCTTATACCGCCAGTGCGCCGCCACGCCGAACTCCGCCTGGTGGTGCATGGCGGGCGTGCGGATCTGCACCTCCAGCGGCAACCCATCGTCACCGCACACCACCGAGTGGATCGACTGGTAACCGTTCGGCTTGGGCGCGCGCACGTAGTCCTTGAGGTGCCGGCCTGCCCAGGGCTCCCAGAGCGAGTGCACGACGGCCAGCGCGTCGTAGCACGCGGCTTCGTCCGCCGCGATGAGGCGCAGCCCGCGCACATCCATGATCTCGTGCAGCGACCGGCCCTTCCTGGTAGGGCAGGGCACGCGGGGGAAGCGGCACGGGAGAGAGGGGGGAACGGGAAGAGGGGGACGGGGAGGTGGGCGGGGAAGGCAGGCGGGAAGGTGGGGGGGGCGGCAAGGGAGAGGGACGACAGGACAGGGGAGAGAAACGCGATGAGGAAAAGGAGAGGAAAAACAGGGTCCTTACACCATTGTCACAATGACAATGGAAGATGCTGCGACGAGCAATAATGGAATGAAAGGCGGGAGGATGCAAAAAAACGATGCAGCTGGGTTTAAAACGGAATAAGACCGGCCGGGAGGCGGGGGAAAGGGAATTGGGGGGGGGGGGGGGGAGGGAAGGAGGGGGCGGGGGGGGGTGGAGGGGAGGAAGGGGGGAAGGGGGTGGGGAAAATTGGGAAAACGGTTGTGTAATAATAGGTTACTTAAAGATTGTGTGTGCTAGCCGCGCGGCTTACTTGGTCATCTTGTTGAAGATGCTGTAGAGATTCTTCGGCCGCCCGCTAAGATCCTCGAACTGCACTCCCTTCGCCTCCAGCGCTGCGCTCAGCCGTCGGATCGCCGCCATCACGCTCGCCTCCCCGCCTCCGCCGCTCCCCGCAACGCCCTCCTCCGCCACACCCCCACTCCTACTGCTATTAAACCCGCTGACGCTGCTGCTGCTGCTCGCGCCGCCGCGGGCGCCGCCGCCGCGGGCGCCGCCGCCGCGGGCGCCGCCGCCGCCGGCGCCAGAGCCGCCGCCGCTGCTGGTGCGGTCGAGCTGCGCGAGCAGGTCCGCGTGCTCGCGCGGGTGCAGGCAGCGGAAGCACGCGTCCTCGATCTCCGCCTTCCACGACCAGATACCCAGCCGGTTCGCCAGCGGCGCGAACACGTCCAGCGTCTCGCGGGAGATGCGCCGCTGCGTTTGCGCGGGGAGCGCGTCGATGGTGCGCAGGCAGTGCATGCGGTCCGCGAGCTTCACGAGGACCACGCGCACGTCCGCCATTGCGACGAACATCGTGCGAAGGTTGTCGATTTCGCACGAGGTGAGCTGTCGCGAACTGTCGCGCGTGAGCTGCGAGACGAGCGACAGCTTGCTGACGCCGGCGACGAGCGACGCGATCTCGTCGCCGAAGATGTCGCGCAGGTCCTGCTCCGACGTCGCAGTGTCGTCGATGACGTCGTGCAGCAGACCCGCGGCGACGACGACTTTGTCGGCGCCGATGCCAGCGAGGATGAGCGCGGTCTCCACGCAGTGGGAAAGGACTGGCTGGCCGCTCTTGCGGAACTGCCAATAAGGAGGATAAAGTGAACAAAAAGAGGGAATCGGAAACAAAACGATTGACGGGACATGACACGCTAGAACGCAATCAACCCTAAAATTATCCCAGCTCGGCAGCAAAGATAGAAAAGGAAACAACATACAGCAAGAAAGCATGCAACAGAAAATGAAAGGATCCAGTGCGTCGTTCATCGTTACACGACATACCTGGCCTTGGTGAGCGTCAGCAGCCACTTGAAACGCCAGCTTCACCAGCGGGTCATAGAAAACGGAATGCTTCTTCTGCGCGTATCTCAACCAATCGTCGTCCGACAACAGAGCATCTGGATCTCGGCCAATCTCAATGGCGGACCGCACTTGGCGGAAAGCCGCGGAATCGTGCATCCTGACGCCGCCATTGGGAAGAGCGGTCAGCTTCGGCATGCTCAGCAACGTCGTATTTACAAGCTCCGCGCCTGAATCCGTCCCTACGCGCCATACCCCTGGAGCAGAACCAGAGAGCGACGTAACTAGCCCTGGCCAGTGTGTCGAGTGAGCAGCTGACGACGATGACGTCACCTCCTCTACGAGATCTTGGATGGACGCTAGGCCAGGCTTGCCGTCCGCTCCTAGCGGCACAAAGCGCGGCGCGACTTGGCTGTCGGACGAGGGAGCAGGGGCGACGCAAGCGCCAGTCGCAGCGGTCTTGACGGTAAAGCCGACGCTGCGCTGAATGGGCTTCGAATCTGCAGGCGCGGGTGCTGTCAACGGCGCGAATCGACGTGTCCGAGCGCTGCTGCTGACGTCAATGGACGACGAGAGACGCGGCTCGCTTCTGCATGTTAGGGACGACGCGAGGGAGGTGTGGAAACCGCTTCTGGTCGTCGTCGTCGTGCTGACGGAAAGGCTGGAGCGACGAGGCTTAAGCTTAGAACCGTTAGACGGAATGTTAACTGCTGTAGAAAGAAAACGGCCGCCGTCAGATAAGGAGCTAGCGTTATTTACACTGTTGCCGAAATAATATCCTTCCTGACCGCCAAAAGCGCCAGATCCCATAGTCCCCGTGAATTCAGAGCTTGGCAAAGACCCGTAAGAGCCATGTCTGGGACTCGTCGAGGTGAGGAGGGACGACAAACCGCCTCGAGAACCTTTGCGGTTGTTTTGGTTGTCTAAGGCGCTGGTCGCGTCACCGTCGGACACCGCAGGAGAAGGCGAGAAAGTTTTTGACGACGAGGACAGAACAGCCCCTGGTGAGGAGCTAGAATACAAGGCGAGAGTCGTAACCATAGCGCTCTGTTGTGTCTAGATTTACGGAAGCGTATAAAGATATTGCTAAGACAACTGCGGCAAAATCCCGCTAATAGCTCTCAGCACTAACGGGAACTTGCCCTCTAGAGTTACCTCCGAACGAGAACGAAAACACAGGTTAGAGAATAAACGAGTGTGCCAGGCCTTTCTACTTGCTGGGGTGACCTGGTCTGAGATGGGATGAACAGAAGGGCGATTCACTTGGCTCTAGGCTTTACGGCAACAGCAACAGGCTTCTAGGGTTTCTGGTATGTAGGGCTGGGAGTAGGGTACGCGGAGGTGAAGATGGCTGGAGGAAGAGAGTCAAGCGAGGGGGAAGAGAAGCGGGAAATGGGAGCTCCGTCAAGTCGTTTTTGACGGACGAGGAAGGTGGAAAGGAAAGGCGGTTCGGGGCGGGGGGCCAAGAGGGGGAAGAATCTGGCGTCGAGTCGAGTCGTCAGGGACGGAGGGTGGTTTTGAACCAATCGGTTGGCCCAGTTGATTTGGGGGCTGCACAACGACGGGACGGATTCCGTCCGTTCGCGCTGGTTCTGGAAACGCGCAGACCGCGGTGTGGCAGACGGTAACCACCCCTACCTCAGACCACTGCCACGTGGAATTTTGCGAAAGAGCATGGTAAGAGATGCGGAGCACGGGGCCACTTGAAAGGAGTGCTGCGCATGCTGTGGGTGTCTGCATCACGCCTAAACCTAAGTTGGCGGGAAACCCGTGCAGTTGACGTTGTTGTGAGGCACACTCCACGGAGGATTGACGTCAGCACGCTGTTGGAAGGGCCCAGGTGCCCTGTGTTGTGGTGGTTGACAGTTTCATGAGATTCCTTCTGGCGCCGAAGCTCCCCGCAGAGCCAGGTGCACGAGTATCCCATGCGGAAACACTTCGCAGTTGGTGGGAAAATTACTGTTCGTTCTTCGAAGCCTGACGAATTGTTCAAACGAATCAGCATTCAGGGCAACACATCGAATCCACGCTGTAAATAATCATGGTTCAAACTAACCAATTACAACTCCAGCAAATGGAATACCACCCAATAGAAGCCTGCCTCGTGTTACTAGTCCAGTTGGCACAACGGACTTGGACAAAAACGCAATGGTGTGGTTTGGTACTCGTTAAGAAGCGTTATTATAACAGTATAACAATGATATTAAAGCATTCACCCAGTACAACAATCCTTTTTGCAACCCATGACTTGAAACTAATATCCCTGTCGAATTCTTGATTGGCACATGACCAAAGGTTGATAATCATCCAAGATGTGCTGCACACATGCGAACAATGGGCGAGGATTTATGGAAGCATACTGGTAAGCTAGTGGCATCGGCACTAAGACTCAGCGATGGATAAGAACGTAATGGACAGCATTGCTGGCATGATTGAAGGCAAACGAGGATGACGGAAACAAGATCAGGAAGATAATCAGACTGATGCCAAAACATAACTCAGAAATGCCTTTTTTCCTCCCTGAAAGGGAAGGGACCATCTTACATCAAAGAATTGGAACTACCCCTGTCGTGGGGCAACAGGCACGTTACAGGGCCCGCAATGGTCAGTGCCGCACACATCCAATGGTCTCAGGCACGCAAAGCAGAAGGTGGTGCCGCACTGGCATGTGATGGACTTGCAGCCCTCGTGGTGAATGATAAGCGTGCGACAACTCACGCACGCACGGAGAACGGGTACATCCATCCTGCTTAACACCTGCGAGCAAGGAAAAGGAAGCCGGACCGTTGCTTTTGTCAGACCGATAAAAAGGACAAGGAAGAGAGATAAATTAATTCAACGTCCTGCATTCTTCCAACCTTAGTGGGAGAAGTCTGAAGCTCGTATGTTCTTTGCCTTGAATTCATGCTGAATCTCTCTTCCCGCAAGACCAGGCGCTACGTTGACTTCCGCGAGCAAATGCAGCTGAGACAAAACACCATGACAGCGAGTTGATAACAGCGTCCAGGGCGTGTGCGGGATAATCTAGAGGCTGAGAACCTCGACCTCTTCGAGTGGAAGCCATAGGCGACATCAACATGTCAAGAAATTGGTTTACTAGGGAAGCCGTGGAGCGAAAGCCGTGTAATCAAAGGCACAGCTTAGCGATACCCTGGGATTGAGCGAAAGCAGTCAATTGAATGTGGCGCTGAAACAAACACTTCGAGGCTGGAGATTTGTACCCGCTAAAGACGAATTTCCAGAGGCCTAAACCCGAAACTTCGCTAGCGCAAGCAACTCGGTGTATAAGCCTTCAATTTGGAAAATGTGGAGATAAAAAATTCAAGCACTGGAATCTCTAGAACAAGTGTGTGATTGTTGGCATCATGCTCAAGCCCCCTTCAAATATCCTTATGAAAAGGGGTAATCATTTTTTTAACGTGATTAAGGACTGCAATGGCAGCTAACACCGCACACCACATATAAACTTCAAAAGCCTAGGCACAGCACCTACAAACTATGTCCTAACCTAATGATGTAGTTCTTTGGCCTTCACCTCTCTTTGTTTCATCCCAGAGCAGAGATTAACCCTGACGGGGTGCAACTGGCGCAGTGCAGGGCCCACTATGGTCAGTGTTGCACTCATCCCAAGGTTGCAGGCAGGCGAAGCAGAAGGTGGCGCCGCACTGACATGTGACGTACTTGCAGCCCTCGTGGTGAATGATGAGCGTGCGACACCTCAGACACGCGCGGAGAACCGGTACCTCCATCCTGCTCAACGCCTGCGGATCAACTCAGAGCCAGGAGAAAAGAAGCAAAAAGGTAGAAGGAAACGCGGAAGTCAAGGGCAAAATAGGGCGACTGACGATACCGCGCATGACACAGAAACTGGAGAAATAATAACTACCGTGAAGAGGGTCAATAAATCGCTGAATTCCGACCTTTGTGGGAGATGTCTGGAGTTCGTAGGTTCGCTGGCGTGAGTTCATGTCGAGTCTACACGTCACGGTAACACCAACCTCGCACCACGACAACCGGAAATCAGACGCACCATAGGAGCAAACTATGAGGAAACAGGAACTGCTGGACAACAAAACGCGCTTTACATCCTACGCCAGTAGGCTATGGATACGAAGCCATTGCGCCTCGTTCCCAGAGCAGCCAGGACAATGGCGCGAGGGACGCTGGGAGATGTGGTGACATGTACAGGTATTCCGCGCATGCAAGGAAACCTGGAAAATAGCGAATGCAAATGCTGGTGAATGAGCCGGGAGCAGGGCGTAGGGTGGAACAGCAGCCCCAACCCCCCATGCGAGCTTCCGCGAGACGGGTTACCGGGGCAGATGGTCGCTTCGGTTTCGATTGTACCTGATAAAGGGTGCGCTGATACAAATAAAGTAGCTCAACATATTGGTAGGCAGCATGCTAGTTTAAAATGTTGGCAAACCCAATTACACTTTCCTCGATTTCCTGGTATTTCGAAATCACCATTAGATCGAGGCATTTGATACAGGAAATGATGAAAGACTTTACTGTTTCCGGAGAAAATTACCACAAGCGCCCTTCAAGTCGACAACCTCCTCTTCATTACTTTCGGCTTCTTGGCCTTCACACCTCCCACTTTGCCCCCTGTGCTCCCTCTTCTCCTCTTCCCCTTCCCCACCTCCTTATCCCCTCCTCCCTCCTCCCTTTCCACGCCCTCCTCCCCCCCTTGCCGTTCAACCACCTTCACAGCCATTTTCGCCGGCAAATCAACCTCCGCCATGTAGATCGGCAACGCAAGCGAGTCCGTGGTGCGTATATGCAACGAGCTCACATTCCTCCATTTCTTCGGCACGTGCTCCACCGCGCCCGCCACCACCGCCATCACATTCCCCACAATCTCCGCCTCACTCATGCCGAACCGGGCCGCCCGCACACTCATTGACGGACCTCCACTCACATACAGATACGTGCTATCACATGCCTCTCGCACACTCTTTGCCCAGTCCTTCCCCCGGAGCTTCACGGGGATCGGGTGTTTCTTCTTTTTGAAGAACTTTGTGCCAATAAGGGGGGGAAGCTGGGGGATGATGTCAATGTCGGCGAGAAAGAGGTCGTAAGAGCCGAGTAGTTGTCTCTTCGCCTCGTACTGCTTGTACTTGGTGCGCAGCTTGGTGAGCCCGATCACCTTGGTGATGCCGGCTGCACCCTGGGGAGGGGGAGGGGGAGGGGGAGGGGGAGGGGGAGGGGGAGGGGGAGGGGGAGGGGGAGGGGGAGGGGGAGGGGGAGGGGGAGGGGGAGGGGGAGGGGGATGAGGGAGAATAGGGCATGGTAAGGCACTTGGACTCAGAAAAACTTGTACCTGGTGCTCAGCTTGGTAAGACCAATCACCTTGGTGATCCCTGCTGAACCCTGGGGAGTTCCAAAGGTGGTGGGGGGGGAAGGGGGGTGGGGGGGTGGGGGGGGGGGAGGGAGGAAGGGAGAATAGGGCACGGCGATCACCTTGGTAATGCCGGCTGAACCCTGGGGAGTGGCAAAGGATGGTGGGGGGTTAGGGAGAACAGGGCATGTTAAGATGCTTCGCCTCCTACTGCTTGTGCTTGGTGCGCAGCTTGGTCAGCCCGATTACCTTGGTGATGCCGGCTGAACCCTGGGGAGTGGCAATGGTAGGGGGTCGGGAGGAGGGGGAAGGGTTTGGGGGCGTGTGGATGGGGGACAAGGGAGGGGGGGAGGGGGGGTTGGGTATGTGGATGGGGTGGAGGGGGGCGAGGGAGGGTTAAGGGAGTGTGAATAGGGCATGTTAGGTCGCTTGGCCTAACATTAGACTGGTGATTGGTCACCAGTCTGGCGACGTATTGCTTATTAGTCGTTTGGTGATTAGTCGTATTGGTTGTGATTGGTGTGCAGCTTGATTAGATTGCACATTAGTGACCCCTGCTGAATTTGGGAAAGAGATGAAAGGGAGGAAAGGGGTAGCGAAATTAGGGCAAGGGTGCCAAGTTTGGCGTCACAAGCTTGTTGGCGTTGTACTGCTGCTTGTACTTGGTGCGAAGCTTCGTCACGTCACGCCCGTGATGAGACTGATGTTCTCCCTGACCTGAACAAACGAAAATCCGTGAGTTGAAGCGAAGAGGGGAAGGGTGTAGGGTTGGGTAAGGTGGGGTGGCAGGGAAGGGTAGGGTGAGATGGGTTAGGGTTGCTTTTTCCGATGATGTTTGCACATAGTAAGTCCGCGTGGGTCCGCGTAGGTCCGCGTGGGTCCGCGTAGTTCTGCGTGGGTCGGCGTGGGTCCAAGTAAGAAGCTGCTGGTGGGTAAGCAGCTATCAACTCATGCATTCTGAAGGGAAATTCGCTGCCTTGCTGCGACGTTAATAAAAAGGATATGCCTACTCATGATGCTCGTCGTCAAGGTTTCACCACGACGAAAATCGTAAAACCATGATGCCCAATCGACGCCCAATTAACGACTGACAATACCTCCGTACAACCCTCGCTGGCATCTTCAATTGAACAGAAAAACAAAGGGGCTCCGTCACACGCTTGTTCCGCCACACAGCAATAAAACCATTCGTAAGCCCCTCCCCCTAGAGTCCCCCTAGAGTCCTCAGCAATAAAACCATTCGTAAACCCCTCCCCTTAGGGTCCCCCTAGAGTCCTCAGCAATAAAACCATTCGTAACTGCTTTCCGACCAGCGTACTCACCTGCTTCAGAAATCTCTCCTTAGACTTTTTATGCCCGCCCTTAGGGTCATCGTTGACTAGCAAACAGACCTCCTTTCCCGCATCCAGTGGGTATAGCGAATGCGGGATCGGCAGGCGAAACCCGCTCGTCTTGGCGAAGTCTGGCGAAGACTTGAGCCCGATTACGACGTGAATCAGCTCGTCGTCGTCTTCCGCGAAAAGCTCGTGCTCTGATTTCGCTTTTCGCCGCGCGGTCATCCATTTGACTAACGACTGAACGGCCCTCTCCACCTGCCCGCGATCCACGCGATTAGGGTTCTCAGTGCTCGCTCCTTTTCCCGCTGCCATGGCAACAGAGAGAGCAACTAAGGCAGGCAAGACTAGCTGCTTGAGCTCTCGACACAATTAATCGCCTGGGTTGGTCAGAGAGGTGGGAAGGGGTCAAAACAGCCAAGCGGGAATGAGGGGTTTGGAGGGTTTTGAGAGAAATCCGATGTGGGCAAGGGGAAAAGGGAGAAGCGCACTGAAGAATGTCCTCGCTAAAGACATGAACATTGGATAGATAGTGATGGTGGATAGGTTGTAAGGTTTTGAGAACCCAAACTAACAAACGAGTGTACTAATCCCAAGGGGAAGATATGTGGATCCAAACAAATACGGACCACACAGTGAATTAATTCGCTATTTAACAATTTTCTCATGTCTTCTCTCACTTCTACTTTGCTCACTTGATTTTTTCATAACAACATAGAGCGAATGTACTGTCAAATATGTTAGTGTTCTTTTTTGTGGTTTGTTTGGTTTAAGTGCACGAAACTCGGATTGGATGGATGCGTTGCTTCCGCACCTAGTCGCTTTGGCGATGTGAACCTCGTCAGCCGACGCTGCCTGACCCAGCAATGAAATATAGGCGTTGTTCTGCAGGCAGGTGGCATCGGCATGGTAGCAGCATCGAGTGCTTTTTCCGATGAAATTTCCAGGGTCGACCTAACCTCCCCTCTCAAAGGGAAATTTCGCATTTCGGCCCCGGAAAGCAGGGTCCCGAGACTTGCATGTTCCGCCCAGTTTCTCTCACGGGCTGATTGGGGCCAATCCCTCTGCCATCGCGTGGCCAACCACCTCTCTTGGGGGGGTGGCCATGGGGTGGCACAGGCACGACTATTTGCCTGAGAGGGAAAATGCAGGGAGGTTTCGAACCCTTTAGATGTCATCGTCCGAAGGCATGTTCTGCAGCCAATGCCATGCCGTTTTGGTTCGGACGGCATCGTCAGGCTTGACGCGATTTTTTGGGCTGCCCCCCAAAATGTCAACGCTCTAGCAGCATCGCGGCACATTCTTCCGACGGCGTCGGGTGCCTGCAGAACAACGCCATAAAAATCTCCGTGCCAGTGTTGAAACCAGGGGAGCTCTTTTGTTCCCCGCAAAACGACAAGGGGGAGTCCCAGTTCCCGAGGGTCAGGTCTATCTGAATGTTTAGAGCGTGTTACACATGCCCTATTTTCAAGGATCACGTAGCTGAGATCACCAACACCCCAACCGTAGGATTCAGAGTGGTCAAACAACAAGTTTTTGGGGCACATCACGATCCTTGTTAGTGTACCATCTGCAAAATTGCAGTGGTGATCCTCTGCGACCAGGCGACGTCGCCTGAAACTACGCGACAGTCGCGATTTTTGGATATGTTCATTGACCATGTTGACTGCGTTACTGGCGCGAATTCAACAGCCTCATTGGTTCGAATTCCATCAAAAGAATGATCTGATTAGTTGCGAGCTTGTTACAGAAAATTGCGACATAAAACTTTTCGTCATCAAGGATCACCTTGTCTTTGGTACAAAGATGCAAGGATCACCGAGAGATTGGCAGTCACCATGATCTCTCGGTAAACACCAAGATCGGGTAGCGTAGGGAACTCGTGATTTCGATCCTTCCTCTGTTGGTACATCACCTGACACAGTGATTACTGTAGAGTGGTAGGTATGACACTGTTCCGCAAGGATCGCCTGCGCGATCCTCAAAATGCAGCAATCTTTGCTTGGGTGTAACACGCTCTTACATGACTCCTAGGAGAACCAATCCGGAAGCGGCATCCTATCACGCTGCACAAATATTTCCTACAGTAATCCAACAACAGCATCTGACACGAGTGGGCGGTTTCGAACAACCTGGCTGACGGGTAAACCTGCACAGTAAAATTTCGAGAACGGCTCACGTACTTCTCAATACTGTACGAGTGAAAGACGGGTGAAAGCGAGGTCAAAACATTTTCTGGATTCCATTCCTACCCACCAAGTCATGTTTGTGTGTTTTTTATCCAATCCAAGGCCCAGTTTGGCAGGCATAAAAAAAGGGGGCGAGGGGGATGGGCTACAGTGAACCGACCACCCGGGAACCTTCCTTGATAAGCGCGTGAAAGGCTATCAAGGCTCGATATAAGCGGAATACGTCGAACCTGACAATAATGAGATGCCAGCCAAACACCCTTTTTTTGCAGGCGTTTTCAACCGCCGGAATCTACACCCAACCATTTTCTCTGGCAAAGTGCCTATTTTCGGGCAAAGATCATATTGGGGCCGGAAAATAGTAGAGGGGTGTCCAAATTAGGGCCGGGTAGTCGAACCTAGACATTTAGAGTAAATTATTGGAATTCCCATAATCGTGAAATTGTTTTTACTTGTCAGAGGTTCTTACGCGTCGTGACGGATTGAAAGGAAACTTTACGCCGATAGCGCCACCAAGCACTAGACGACGCTACCGGGCACTGTTAGTGAATAAAAAAACTAAAACCCTTAGCGAACCCGGACGGTTTTTCGGGAGGGATCAACCCTAAACACGGGAACCCGCAAGGAGTTTAGGGTTGATGCCTCCCCGAGTCGCATCCGTTTCCGAGTGGGTTTTATTTTTTTTGTCACGTTGAGTGATGTGTCTCTTAAAAATATACACGAAGAAACATACTTCCAGAGGAATACGACGCGAGCTTCGTATGAGAAAAATATTGAATGAAAAACGTCAAGATTTTAGTAATTTCCTCAGAATCTCGGTTCGGGTAATCGGCCCAGCCACATGGGCAGCTACGGGGATGTATCGAACGGTCAGGATTTACCCGGCCCTAATTTGGACACCTCCCTGCTATTTTCCGGCCCTAATATGATCTTTGCCCCCCATTTTCTGATCCCCCGCACCATGCGGTCTCGAGGCCACGCACTATGCGGGGTATCAGTGATTCGGGGCGATCAAAAGTGACTGGTCAAATATGCCAACCAATCACATGATCACGCGAACCATCATGGCAACTGCCTCCCATCTTATGCCAAACCCTAGGCCCTGTTTGGCAGGCATCATGGCCATTATGGCCATTATGGCCATTTTTAACGAACGGGCCCCCAAAAAATGCTGCCTGGGCATTTCGAGAAACAGCTTCGAAATCGGACTGCAGCTGCAGGACACCTTCGGAAAAATGGGTTGAGTGTTTGGTTGGCATTAAATGGATGTAGATTGATGGCATCAATCTAAGTTAAAGTTATATATTGGTCGTAACCAAGTCATATCCATTCAAGTCTGCCAACCACAGCCTTTTCCCGTTCAATTTTCGGCTGGCTGAGGGATTTTCCCTTCCGTGAGCATGAGAATTTAGGGCGTGGGCCCAAACGGGTTTGATCGCCTCGATCAGCCGCGATCATTAATTTCAGGCAATCAGGGGCAATCAGCTGATCGCGATCAGCTGATCGCCCCAACTCAATCAGACCCGATTACCCCGCTCAGAGTCGATTTTCCTCGATCACAGGCAATCAATTGATTGCATGTGATCGGGACACCTAGCGATGCTTGCGAAGCGTTACACTGTTGCACTTACAGTGAAACGACGATTTTCGCCAGGTTAAGCCTGGTCGTCAATCTCGCTAGAATGGTGATGAAAATGCCACGCAAATGTATCGCGTATGCTGAGCAGGTGCTCACAAACTTCTCTGAAAATCATCTCTGATCGGGCGGCTCGGGGACTACGATCACAAGCAACCCGCTCAGATCCGACCCGATCAGATCAGCCGCGATCAAACCCGTTTGGGCCCACGCCCTTATCGAAACAAACATTGGTTGAGAAACGCTTTCGTGCTCGAACTGGGCCTTGTTCTGAATGCCCAGGATTAGTGCCCAGACTGTCACCTTACGTGTGCTTGCTTTCTGTTATGAGCCGTCCGCCACAAGAACTGCTGCATATACGACAAACGATGCACGCGGCGAGAGCCTTCGCCATGGATAGGAGCTCTTGGTGGAATAGTACTGCACCTGCCACCTGCTTAGTCCTCTGACATCCAAGGCTTAGCATTGGTCCGGCCGGCAGACCCTTTCGCGTCGCATGGCAATCCCAGATGCCACCTGGGCAGCAATTGCTCGTGTCTCGTCCTCGCAGGCACGTGACGTGGCTGGAAGGGAAAAGGAGCACGACGAGAACGAGCAGCGGAGGGGGAAACTACTATCTGCGGATGGGGCCCGGAACCGTTCCGGTGAATCTTGCACCTGAGGTGAGGTGTGGAACGGGGAAGACGGTCCCGGGGAGGACTCTTCTCGGAGAGGAGAGGGATCGGCGGGTCCGCCACATTTCACTGGCAGTCCCGCGCCTATAGTCGCGCCGATTCGTGCGCCGATCGACGATGATCGTGCTGTGTCATCAGCGGCACGATGGCACAAACATTCAGTTTCCGTCTCAAATACCTTCGTCGACGAGACACGAGCATCTGCCTCCAGCGTTGCTGCACCTGCTGCTGCTCCCCCTTCCCTGCTTCGAGTCGAGAGAAATTCTCACCCGCAAGAAGTACATTCTCCGTAACATAGTTCCAGTGGAAGCGAAGCGCAGCGCCGTCTTTTCCGCGCATCACTCTGTTTTCTTTCCGCTAGCAACCGTCGGCCTTGGGCCGTTGACCGCCGCTTCCGCCGCCGCCTCTTCCATCAGCACTAGCAGCGCGTTCCGCGCGCCCGTCGTCCCTTCTCCTCCCCTCGTTGAACGCGTTAAGCGCGCCCGCCGTCGTCATGTCGCGCGGGGCCTTCCCGCAAGTTGCGGCGCCGCCAGCGGCGGGTCTCGTTGCCCTGCTGCTCGTCGCAGCGGCGGCTGGCGGAGTGCGCGGATCGGGGGGGGATGCGGCGCTACCCCGCAAGCTCGCCGCGGGCGGAAGCGGAAACAAGGCGGCTGAGCTGGTGAAGGACTCCCCCCGTGCTTCCGCGGAGGGGGAGAAACTTGTAGTGAAGGATTCTGCGCCTTCTTTCCGCCAGTGGCGCCGGTGAGGCGGAGGCGGAGGCACATGTTTCGCCGCTGCAGCTGATCATTGCGGAAGAAGGGCGCGCGGAGGGCGCAGTGTGCTTGGACGGGTCGGCCCCTGGGTTCTACTATCGGAAGGGCTACGGCTCGGGACAGAACAACTGGGTGCTGTTCTTCGAGGTGTGTCTAACGAACGACTTCTCGGAAGGCCCCTGGGTTCTCCTTCTTCCGCTTTTGCCCTTCAGAGGTGCTGCACTCTGACTCACTCCGAGAAGGCTTTCCCGTTTTCCTCAATAGTGACCCTCCGCGCCTCTTATCATCCGCCTCCATTCTTTGCCCTCATCCCCTGCTTGTTTCCCTCTGCTCTTCCTTCCCCCATTCCTCGATTCCCCTCGACTTCTCCCCCCCCCTCCCTCGCTTCCCCTCGACTTCTCCCCCCCCCCCCCCTCGCTTCCCCTCGACTTCCCCCCCCCCTCCCCCCCTCGCTTCCCCTCGACTTCCCCACCCCCCCCCCCCCCGTTTCCCCTCGACTTCCCGCTCCCCCTTTCCCCTGCACACCAGGGCGGCGCGTGGTGCGCGTCCCCGCAGAGCTGCGCGGGGAGGGCGCGCACGCGCCTGGGGTCGACGGAGCACGCGCGCACAGCGGCGGAGATGGTGGATGCGCGGACTGGCGGCATGAACGGCATGCTCAGCTTCAATAAGACCGTCAACCCTGGTGAGGACCCACAACGCACTGCACCGCACCGCACCCCACCGCACACTGGATCCGCGGACTGGCGGCATGAATGGCATGCTCAGCTTCAACCGCACTGTTAACCCTGGTGAGAATCATCCGTAGATGCTACACCGCACGGTACCGCACTGCACCGCACACTGGATGCGCGGACTGGCGGCATGAACGGCATGCTCAGCTTCAATAAGACCGTCAATCCTGGTGAGGACCCATAGCTGCTACATTGTTCCGCACCGCACCGCACTGCACTGCACCGCACACTTGATGTGCTGAATGGCAGCATAAATGGCATTCTCAACCGCACCGTCAACCCTGGTGAGGACCCATAGCTGTTACACCGCTCCGCATCGCACAGCACCGCACACTGGATCCGCGGACGGGTGGTATGAATGGCATGCTGAGCGGTTCCCGTGCTGACACCGCCGCCTTGCATCCGCCCCCTTCCCCCTTCCCCTTTACCCTTCCCTCTCCCCTCTCCCTTGTCCCCACCAGGCTTCTACAACTAGAACGCCGTCTATTTCATCTACTGCGATGGCGGCTCCTGCAGCGGCTCCTGCACTTCCCCCTCTCCCCTGCCGTCCCCACCAGGCTTCTACAACTGGAACGCCGTCTATTTCATCTACTGCGATGGTGGCTCCTTCTCAGGCCATCAGGACGAGCCCATCTACTTCAATGTCAGTCGCCTGCCCCTCCCCCGCTCCGCCTCTCCCCCGCTCCGCCTCCCCGCCTCGCCGCTCCCCCGCCTCTCCGCTTCGCCCTCTTCCCGCCTCTCCATCTTTCCGCCTCTCCCCTCTCTACCTTACCGCCTCTCTTCCTCTCCACCTTAATGCATTCCCGCATCTACCTCTCCACCCCTCCTCTTCTCGTTTCTCCCCCTCCTCGGGCCAAGCTACTCTAGCGAGGGTGTTTTTGAGACGTCTCAAAAACACCCTCGTTACACGTGGCTCCTCTTCTCGTTTCTCCCCCTCCCCCATCCTCCTCGGGAAACCTTTAACTCGATTTTAAATTTCCGCCCATTTATCCCCTTGGTCCCCTTCCCCTTCCCCCTGACCCCCGTCGCCTTCCCCCAGGGCACTCCGCTGTACCTGCGGGGAAGGCGAGTGGCGGAGCTGCTGGTGAAGGTGCTTGTTGAGAAAATGCTATCCCTTTGTACGTGCCCCTTCCTCTTGCCCCCTTTTTCCTTCCCCTTCCCCCTTTTTCCTTCCCCTTCCCCCTTTTTCCTTCCCCTTCCCCCTTTCCTTCCCCTTCCCCCATTCCTTCCCCTTCCCCCTACCCCCAGGGCATTCCGCTGTACATGCGCGGAAGGCGAGTGGCGAACGTGCTGGTGAAGCACCTCATGGAGAAGAAGGGGCTTGGCCACGCGGAGAAGGTGAGAAGGGGGAGGGTGGCGGGTGGGAGGGAGGGTGGGATTGGGCAGCGTGAGAGGGAGGAGAGTGATGAGAGGAAGGCGAGTGGCAGTGAAGCACCTCATGGAGAAGAAGGGGCTTGGCCGCGCGGAGAAGGTGAGAAGACGGGAGGGTGAGAGCGGGGAGGGTGAGAGGGGGGAGGATGTTGAGATGGGGGAGGGTGAGAGGGGGGAGGATGCTGTTCACCCGGCTGTAGCATGCTGTTCACCCGGCTGTAGCATGCTGTTCACCCGGCTGTAGCATGCTGTTCACCCGGCTGTAGCATGCTGTTCACCCGGCTGTAGCATGCTGTTCACCCGGCTGTAGCATGCTGTTCACCCGGCTGTAGCATGCTGTTCACCCGGCTGTAGCATGCTGTTCACCCGGCTGTAGCATGCTGTTCACCCGGCTGTAGCATGCTGTTCACCCGGCTGTAGCATGCTGTTCACCCGGCTGTAGCATGCTGTTCACCCGGCTGTAGCATGCTGTTCACCCGGCTGTAGCATGCTGTTCACCCGGCTGTAGCATGCTGTTCACCCGGCTGTAGCATGCTGTTCACCCGGCTGTAGCATGCTGTTCACCCGGCTGTAGCATGCTGTTCACCCGGCTGTAGCATGCTGTTCACGCGGCTGTAGCATGCTGTTCACGCGGCTGTAGCATGCTGTTCACGCGGCTGTAGCATGCTGTTCACCCGGCTGTAGCATGCTGTTCACCCGGCTGTAGCATGCTGTTCACCCGGCTGTAGCATGCTGTTCACCCGGCTGTAGCATGCTGTTCACCCGGCTGTAGCATGCTGTTCACCCGGCTGTAGCATGCTGTTCACCCGGCTGTAGCATGCTGTTCACCCGGCTGTAGCATGCTGTTCACCCGGCTGTAGCATGCTGTTCACCCGGCTGTAGCATGCTGTTCACCCGGCTGTAGCATGCTGTTCACCCGGCTGTAGCATGCTGTTCACCCGGCTGTAGCATGCTGTTCACCCGGCTGTAGCATGCTGTTCACCCGGCTGTAGCATGCTGTTCACCCGGCTGTAGCATGCTGTTCACCCGGCTGTAGCATGCTGTTCACCCGGCTGTAGCATGCTGTTCACCCGGCTGTAGCATGCTGTTCACCCGGCTGTAGCATGCTGTTCACCCGGCTGTAGCATGCTGTTCACCCGGCTGTAGCATGCTGTTCACCCGGCTGTAGCATGCTGTTCACCCGGCTGTAGCATGCTGTTCACCCGGCTGTAGCATGCTGTTCACCCGGCTGTAGCATGCTGTTCACCCGGCTGTAGCATGCTGTTCACCCGGCTGTAGCATGCTGTTCACCCGGCTGTAGCATGCTGTTCACCCGGCTGTAGCATGCTGTTCACCCGGCTGTAGCATGCTGTTCACCCGGCTGTAGCATGCTGTTCACCCGGCTGTAGCATGCTGTTCACCCGGCTGTAGCATGCTGTTCACCCGGCTGTAGCATGCTGTTCACCCGGCTGTAGCATGCTGTTCACCCGGCTGTAGCATGCTGTTCACCCGGCTGTAGCATGCTGTTCACCCGGCTGTAGCATGCTGTTCACCCGGCTGTAGCATGCTGTTCACCCGGCTGTAGCATGCTGTTCACCCGGCTGTAGCATGCTGTTCACCCGGCTGTAGCATGCTGTTCACCTGGCTGTAGCATGCTGTTCACCCGGCTGTAGCATGCTGTTCACCCGGCTGTAGCATGCTGTTCACCCGGCTGTAGCATGCTGTTCACCCGGCTGTAGCATGCTGTTCACCCGGCTGTAGCATGCTGTTCACCCGGCTGTAGCATGCTGTTCACCCGGCTGTAGCATGCTGTTCACCCGGCTGTAGCATGCTGTTCACCCGGCTGTAGCATGCTGTTCACCCGGCTGTAGCATGCTGTTCACCCGGCTGTAGCATGCTGTTCACCCGGCTGTAGCATGCTGTTCACCCGGCTGTAGCATGCTGTTCACCCGGCTGTAGCATGCTGTTCACCCGGCTGTAGCATGCTGTTCACCCGGCTGTAGCATGCTGTTCACCCGGCTGTAGCATGCTGTTCACGCGGCTGTAGCATGCTGTTCACCCGGCTGTAGCATGCTGTTCACGCGGCTGTAGCATGCTGTTCACCCGGCTGTAGCATGCTGTTCACGCGGCTGTAGCATGCTGTTCACCCGGCTGTAGCATGCTGTTCACCCGGCTGTAGCATGCTGTTCACCCGGCTGTAGCATGCTGTTCACCCGGCTGTAGCATGCTGTTCACCCGGCTGTAGCATGCTGTTCACCCGGCTGTAGCATGCTGTTCACCCGGCTGTAGCATGCTGTTCACCCGGCTGTAGCATGCTGTTCACCCGGCTGTAGCATGCTGTTCACCCGGCTGTAGCATGCTGTTCACCCGGCTGTAGCATGCTGTTCACCCGGCTGTAGCATGCTGTTCACCCGGCTGTAGCATGCTGTTCACCCGGCTGTAGCATGCTGTTCACCCGGCTGTAGCATGCTGTTCACCCGGCTGTAGCATGCTGTTCACCCGGCTGTAGCATGCTGTTCACCCGGCTGTAGCATGCTGTTCACCCGGCTGTAGCATGCTGTTCACCCGGCTGTAGCATGCTGTTCACCCGGCTGTAGCATGCTGTTCACCCGGCTGTAGCATGCTGTTCACCCGGCTGTAGCATGCTGTTCACCCGGCTGTAGCATGCTGTTCACCCGGCTGTAGCATGCTGTTCACCCGGCTGTAGCATGCTGTTCACCCGGCTGTAGCATGCTGTTCACCCGGCTGTAGCATGCTGTTCACCCGGCTGTAGCATGCTGTTCACCCGGCTGTAGCATGCTGTTCACCCGGCTGTAGCATGCTGTTCACCCGGCTGTAGCATGCTGTTCACCCGGCTGTAGCATGCTGTTCACCCGGCTGTAGCATGCTGTTCACCCGGCTGTAGCATGCTGTTCACCCGGCTGTAGCATGCTGTTCACCCGGCTGTAGCATGCTGTTCACCCGGCTGTAGCATGCTGTTCACCCGGCTGTAGCATGCTGTTCACCCGGCTGTAGCATGCTGTTCACCCGGCTGTAGCATGCTGTTCACCCGGCTGTAGCATGCTGTTCACCCGGCTGTAGCATGCTGTTCACCCGGCTGTAGCATGCTGTTCACCCGGCTGTAGCATGCTGTTCACCCGGCTGTAGCATGCTGTTCACGCGGCTGTAGCATGCTGTTCACGCGGCTGTAGCATGCTGTTCACGCGGCTGTAGCATGCTGTTCACCCGGCTGTAGCATGCTGTTCACCCGGCTGTAGCATGCTGTTCACCCGGCTGTAGCATGCTGTTCACCCGGCTGTAGCATGCTGTTCACCCGGCTGTAGCATGCTGTTCACCCGGCTGTAGCATGCTGTTCACCCGGCTGTAGCATGCTGTTCACCCGGCTGTAGCATGCTGTTCACCCGGCTGTAGCATGCTGTTCACCCGGCTGTAGCATGCTGTTCACCCGGCTGTAGCATGCTGTTCACCCGGCTGTAGCATGCTGTTCACCCGGCTGTAGCATGCTGTTCACCCGGCTGTAGCATGCTGTTCACCCGGCTGTAGCATGCTGTTCACCCGGCTGTAGCATGCTGTTCACCCGGCTCGGCTGTAGCACAGCAAT